ACTTGCTGAGGGTGCACTCGATCCCACTATCTCTTGCTTACCTTTCTATCAAATCCACTTTGTTATGTACTTCTACCATTGAGTCCAATAAATGGCTGGGAAGATTAAGATTCTTCAGAACTGACAGAACGGTCGCTTTCTGGAGGATGGTTTCTGGATGAGTAATATCCCTCACATGAACTATCAGATCCTAGCAAGCATCAATATACAAGACAGTTACTTAATGAAACGCACCAGTTACCAGGTTGTAGAGATTTTATACTATTTTTGCATTGCTAATTCATGCAAGATACTTTCCTATCCATTAGATAATACACTGGCAGGGTAACACTGTAAAATGAACTACTAAAACAGTATTAAACCAATACTGGGTTTTGCATCATGATGGAAGAAAATCTGTAGCAGCTTAGTCTTCCACTTCATAATGAGTACGAATTGCCTCCAACAATCCTGAAACAAACCCTGTCAATCAAGCTAGTTACAGAATTCAGAATTCAAATAACTACTGATCCAAATTTTCAAAGTCAAGGCTATGTAACAATAAGGTTTCAAAAATACTGAAGAAAAAGAGTGAACTCTAAAAAGGTTTTAGAAGAGTAATGGCTGAAAAACTGTTTCAAAAATGAGGGGAAAAAACCCCACACAACTTGTAATTCTATTCTTACATTCAAAATGCAGAAGATTATCCTTATCCTTAGTTCCTGAGATACTACTACTGGTGCTTCACTTAGAAAGCTTTATACAAAAGTTATCAGTCTCAAGTACATACACGATCACGTTTGCCATGATAACAACCAAGCAACCAAATTCAGTATTTGCATTCAAAATGTTTTGTCATCTTTGCTCAAGATACTGCTTCAAACTTCTGAAAATTAGTGAGAAATAAATTTCTTGCCTTCCATTTAACACTGCACAATAAGAGACAAACAGGATAGCTGCAGCCAGCTTTTGAAGTCCTATTATTACATAGTAATGGCAAAGTCTAATCCTCAGAAGCATTCTGGCATCTAGCTACCACTGAATTTCATTACCTTTGATGATACAGGCTTTTTCTTTAAATGTCTGCGTGTATGCAGCTTTACACTTTGCTGTAACACAGGAAACTAACTTTAATGAGAAAATGATTGGAAAAGTACATTTGTGTTTATTACCTGCTGCCTGCATCACATCACAATCACACACTTTTCGTGCTCTAGGAAACCTTAAGTTAAGACCAGATCATTCCAGAGGCTTTATTTCATTTTTTAACTCTCAAGAAAGTTAGCCTCAACTTATTTGGATGCACTGTTTAGGTTTTCATATATTTAATCAGCAAAATCTGATTTATCTGGTTTACATACCATGGAGAAGGACACATATACTCCAAATTAACCCTTTCTGAAATCTCTTCATATCTATATGTTCTGCATAATTTCAAGTGTCAGAAAATTGGCTTATGGTAAGGTATTTACCTCATTATCTTAGAAGACTACTACAGTCAGCCAGATACTTCACTAAGAACAGCATGCCAATTAACTTCCCCTTTTCTGAAGGGGTGAGGATTATCTAAAAGGAAATTAATTTGATTTCTCAATGTTAATAGTCAGCTACTTACTGAGTAAGCCACTTCTTCTAACGTAGCTGAAAAGGACTCAACCAGATTATGTGGAAGATCAGTCAGAAACCCAATCGTGTCAACATAAATAACTGCCATATGCGAGGGCAGATAGCCAGCATGGGCTGTAATATCCAGAGTGGCAAAAAGCTGATCCCTGGGTTGTAGTCCTGCTTCCCCAGTCAAGGCTTTGATCAAGGTAGTTTTTCCTAATTAAAGAAAAGGACAAGATTTTAATGGCTTGTTTCAAGTAAAAATTTAATTTGCAAGGTTCAGGTCAGTTGTATGATTTAACATATCTTTTCATATCTATTTCACTAATTTAAATCTAGCCTATGACTAGTTATCTATATGATATTAGGAAATCCAAACATAGTCTTAACTTTTATAACTTGGAATTGGATTTAAGCCCATGTCTGGAAGCTATGCTGCAAAATCACAAGATGATCAAAACGGAACTGACCTGCAAAATGACCTACCCATATCTCTTACCTGTAAGACTATCTGAAGAGTACTGCCATGACAGCATTAGGAAACATACACTTATGCACTCCTCAGTGCTTCTGTTGTCAAATAAAACAACTCAATATTTACTTGTTAAATCCAACACTAAACACAACCCTTAATAATATGTAGCTTGTTAGTTTTATGTTTTTATTGAGCATGTCTTCATGAACATAATACTAATTTAACTCAATGAATATTTCACAGAATTTAGTCATTAAAGTGCTCAGTATATACCCTACTTAAAGTATTTCAATTATGTGTACAAAATTGTAATATATATATTGTTAAATCTTCAGTTTTAAAAGTATGGAAGTATGGCATTTAAGAAAAACATACAGTGTAATCCAAATCTTTAAGTATATAACTGATAACAAAATTAGTGCAAGGTAGGTTTGTTTTTATAAAGATGTTGAATAAGAACATGAAATGTTCTTAAGGTAATGTAACCTGAAAAAAGTGTCTAGTCCAAAGGCCATTTATGCCTTGTAATGAATTCACTTGTGTAAACTATTAAAAAAAAAAAAAAGAATAAACCCTTTAGCTTTATTTAGATTTTCTTATGAACACATTTCGGAACACTATACATCAATCAATGAAAAGCTACAGTGCCTCTTAAGCACATTTCTCAAATCAACTGCCAGCTCTCCTGAATTTTCCTCCTATGCCTCAAGCCTTCCCAGTGATCTAAAACCTGTGTACTTTTCTCTACCCATTCTGATCAAGTAAGAAAGATTCATATAAAGGGACACTAGCAGTACACTCTTCAGCACTAACATATAAATTCTTGGCACAATAGTTGCTAGGCATTTCTCCAAAACATGTCTTCAAGACTGAAGGAAAAAAAAAAAAAATCTAACTACAAGAAGCATCATTTGCTTTCCTAACTATAATCTAATTGACATATATTCATGACACAATTTAAAAACTAATTAAAATACAAAGCCTATTCGCACAGAAATGAGATTCTAGCTAGAGTTTCTGATTAAAAATTAGACAATGTAAGCTCTTTTGTGTTACAATTTCACGAGTTTTTGCTTACCACAATTAGTATAGCCCATTACTGAGATAATCGGAAACTCGCGTTTTCTGCGCTGAGTTCTAAGTAAAGACCTTTTTCTTCTTAGTTTCTCCAGGGCATTCCTAATTTTAAGCTCTTTTTCTTTCAACATACGAGTCTGTGTCTCCATGAATGTTTCACCTGAGAAATACAAATGAATAATTGGCAGAATAGTCTACAAGAGAAACAGTAAACCAAGTGATGTCGTGCATTGGGAAATCAAGTGAGTTAGCACTAGGGCATATGAAGTTATAAATAAGCAACTAAAACTATGTATTCTTGCCTAAGATAGAGTCAGAGTGATAAGTAATTATTAAAACATATGCTAATCACTCTAGAATAACCATGTACACTTACAATAAACTCCTGTGGCAGCAAATACTCTCTCCATGGCCATTTACTGAGCCAGTACAGACTGAAACTTTATTATTTAAGTTACTTTCCAATAAATTTTTGTATGTTCACTTAATTAGATGCCGAACACAAACAGTTTTTCCTCGCAGCCTCCTCCAAATAAAATAAGATGCAATTAAATTTTTTTAAAGGCTAAGGAGAAAAAAAAAAAATCCTCTAATTCATGAGAATATTTAGACTTTACCTGAGCCCATGATGTATCTTGATCCACCTCTCTGCTGATCTAGCTGAGACACCTCATTTTTCAGATTTGACCTGGCGGTGGAGTAACAGTTAATTAGAAGCAATTTTCTTTAATCAAGCTATCCTAAAATGCCCAACAAATATGAAGAAGTAGTGATATTCCAATAGTACAAAAAAACCCCACTAAATGAGAGAGCTCTAAATAAAACCTGCTCATGGCAAGAAGCCTGGCAAAAAAACCCCCAGGTTTTCCTGGCTCAACTGTGGTTTGAAAAATCATACAACTCTCTTAGCAAATTATAATGGCTATTCTGAAATTTCAGAGCTAAAGATGCCTCTGATACATCCATGCAACTCACACCAACTTCCATGTACAAATATTTCTATGCCATGTAACGTACAAATGTGGAAAAATCAGATACAAGTTAATACCTTTCATCTTCCTGGTTTATAGCTTTCCTTATTAAACCCATCAAAATTATGTACGGAATTCATATATCCAATTCCTACACATTCTTGCAATCCATCTTCCACATTAGGAAGAACCGGGACCTTTTAATGAGAAATGTATTTTTTACGATTATCTATTGAACACTTTCTGGTTTTGCCTGCCAGCACTGCAGAAGCTTAAAACAATGACAATAAAGCAAATATTTCTATGCTCTAATCAATCATTCAGTATACTATGCAAGCACTGAAACTGTCATTTTTCTTTCAGTACAGTATTACCATTTTTGTTACTGTAAAGAAATAGTCACTAAAATATATAAACATCAGTATGTGATTTGCACAGCTCAAGGTACCTGAGAAGCGGAATTTCAGCCAACGCTATCTGAAGTTTTGCTTCTTTGGTCCGGGCATTACAACGAAAAATGTGAAGTACAACAGTGTATCTGTCAAAGACTTTCACGCCCCAGGCATCTTCTAGTTCTTTCTTTAGCCATGTAAGACAAAATAACTTACATGTTTTCTATCCCCCACAGTATCAGTTGATCTATTCCTACACAGCACTACAGCTACAGGTGGCTGATGGACACTTGAACTCAGAGGATCTCAGGATTCCATTTCAATGGATGGATAATGATTATGAACATGCAAAGGCAAAATTTGGTTGACCACGAAGAAAGGTGAAAAAGAGAGTTTAGAAGGTAGAATTTGATGGTCTAGGCCCATCAAATTCAGCAAGAATCCTTCCATTCCCTGTAAGGGATTCTGACAACAGCTCTTAAATTCTTGATTCTGACATATGCTGTGTAAGTGGTTAAGTCCTTGTAAAAAATAATTATGAAATGCTGGTATGGGAAAGTGTAGGGATAACATAAGAAAAGAAAAAAAGATTACGCCAAAATTAAAAAAAGGCAGGAAAATTATTTGATAACCAGCTTTTAATGAAATACTTAAAAAACCCCAACCACGCAAAAAACAAATTAAAAACTTGCTCTAATTCAGCAAAGATAAATTTTGCAGTAGTTCCTCTCTGCCATCTCTAAAATCCAGAATGCTTGTGGTTTAAAAATGTTCTCAAACACTTTCTTGAATCAACACTGTTAAATCAACTCTGAAGATCTAGATCTGTGAAAAGATTTTTTCTTTTTTAAGCAAATTTAGTACTAACTCATATTATAAATTAGGGAATAAAAACCAGAAAATTGAAACATTTTCAAGTTCTATTTCATCAATAAATTGAATTGTTTGAGATAACTATCTATTAAGAGATATTTACCATCTTTGTTCATTTTATAACCAGGGAAAGCATTCAAAACTACCAGCAAAGCATTAGTGTTTGCTTGCAGAGTTTGCATGTACTTTACACCCTGCATGATGCTGTACATGCAAAAAAACTAAAAAGTATTTATTTCAGTTTGCCTAAGCATTTCAGAGCGTCTATAGTTCATGCACCAGTTGTGTTACTGCCAGTGTTAAAACAAAAAAGAAAGTGAAGCATGCTCCTCCTTTCAATGTAATCTGCCCATTTAAAATATGGTTTCTTTTTAAGGGTTATGAATGAAGGTTTAAATATTTGAAACACTCAAATATAAACTTGCTCTGAATTTACACCTCATATTCAAAATACAATGCAGCATCCACAGAACTACAGGAAAATAAATACACTATCCATATAGGTGCAGAAACTTGTGCATATAGCTAATCCAAAATGTTGACATTCTTCATAACAAAAGCTGTGTTATCACCTCCGTTTTGTGAAAAAGACCTTGAGTAACTTTTCCAACATTTTAATTGGGGCCAGTGGCAAATGTGAGAGCAGAGTCTACCCTAAATAGCTATTAGGCTGCTGGAAAATTTCATGCACGAGAGCTGGAAACACATATATCAACTGGACAAATGTAACAGGAATTAAGTTTCCTTTCAACAAAACTCAGTCCAGGTGGCATCATATTCTACCAGTGGCAAATTCAGAGTCATAACTGAACCTACTTCTTGTAACATCAATAGCTTCTGAACAATACCGATGTAAAGAATATGATTTGATATTATGTTGAATTACCTTTGTTAGTGAAGATATTCTTTCCACATTCAAGAAGACAGCTGTCACATGGGGCAATTTTTTAATCTTTTCTAAAAGATGGATAACCATTACAAAATACAGTGTTAAATGTCAGTTCTCTTTTTAAAACATACAGAATATAAAACCATTTTGCACTGAGCAGAATGCTCATAAAATATCAAATGGCATCATATTCTTTGTTCTCAGAACAGTTGTATGTGCACTAATTTAGTGCTATGTCAAGAACAGCCGCCAGTTTCGCTTATGTCAATCACGTAAATGTAGGGATTACGTTGCCTCACACATTTTCAGTGAGCATGGGTTATCTCTATTCTGTGTTGCTTTAGTAACCTTAAAAAAAATATTTGAAGTTTGTTTGCAAACCTGCATGATGGATAAACAAAATTCACTCTCTTCAGCCTTCATACTTATCCTTAAATAGTTCAGCTGTATAAGTCGTCCATTTAGAATAACACAGTCCTGAAAAATCTCAGTCCTTACCTGTCAAAACCTGAAAGTTTCCTTTGCCAAAAATAAACTTCTTGTCAGGATTTTTTGTCGGAATAATTATTTTCTCTAAAACCGTCCAGTTCTGAAGGGTATCTACAAGAGCAACGGCTTCAGCAATCTGTAATTCAGCTTTAGGAATACAAAAAAAAAAAAAAAAAAAAGATAAAAAAGACAAAAGATTATAATACACCATCATAACTTTGCTCAGATTTCCAATAACTACAGTATGTACATGAACAGGGAAAGACTAAGCTACGCTGAAATTCTACTACTCTAGCACAAGGAGGAAAACATCTTACCTCTAATCAGAGTAATTAATCTTCTAGTTGGATGCAATTGTACTACACAAAGCATCTTTCTGCCAGTACAAATTATTTCTGTGGTTGTTGATTTATAAGAATTTTTAATTTTATTGCCAGCAAAGAAACTACCGAGCTTTTTGCCTCCACAACTGAAATAACTAACTAGCTGTAAAATAAAATGTTATTTTAGATGAATGCAAAACCACGTGATTAATTCCTTGATGTTTTGCGGCAGTATTTCAAGAATTACTAATATGGCATATCCTGCTGCTAACTACACTGCTACTTATTCATAAAGACCTACATTGATTTATGACTTGCTAAAACCAGCAGATTCTGTATTCTGGTTCATAACTTTTTTTTTTTTTTTTTTAACATCTACATACCAAAACACTGATTTTTTGAGGACTTTATGAAATCACAAAGACTACATGGATGTATCAGATCAGTAGATCCAGTTTTCATCTGCCAAATGGGAGTAAGATTCTCTTTTCATAACAGATTTATCAAGTTTCTCTAGATAGCAAAACATAATTGATATATTAAATAGGTTACCTTAGTCCAAAAAGTAATATATTTTAAAAGATAACCATGATCCTCTTTCTCTCCATATTGTTAGTGTTCCTTGTAAAATGCACAGATTTCCTGCTGTACCTGTAGTGTCTCAACAATCATTCCAAAGCATTTGTTCAGACTTCAGGCTCTTAATCTGGAGGGCCTAAATAAATGGAAAGGTATCACTGCTATTCTTCTGTATGTTTGGACAGAAAGGTGCCTTTGTATTTTACTTTTTTTTCAGTTGTAATATGGGAATGCATATGTAAATTCTGAAAAGGTTAAAAACTTCATTCTGCAAAGTGACATTTTGTTATTATTAGCAGCACTAATAAAACAAAATTAGATTTAGGTTCACTGCATAATAAACTTGAATACAAAAAGTAGTATTTTATATGCGTTAATGTATATATGAAACTAACTTACAAAATGCCTAATCCTTTCTATTACAACTTTGTAATTAGGTACATGTTTGGAGAAACAACATCAAGCCAAGTTCGTCATGTATCTTAACCATGCATGATTAATGCTTATGTATTAGCTAGCTGCAAGGATTTCTGAAATTTAAGAACAGCAATGCTAATTAAAGTCCTTATAAAGGAATTACTGGAGACTGCATCCCTAAGTAACTGCATAAAAGTACTCCTTCAAGTCCGTGAGACTCTTTCACGTGTCTCTTACAGACGGGAGAGTGTTCCTCTCTTCAGCCAACTTCTGGGCGAGCGTAGGGCGGAAGGACTCCTGCCTACCTGGCCAGGGAGCACGCTGAGGGCTGCAGGCTGCCCACGTTTTGCTAACGAGGGGGAAACCCGACGGTTTCCTTAAGCAACCTGAACACTATGCACCGAGTTGTTTTGCTGTCCAAGACACAAAGTTCGCGACTTACAAGTCAAAGCACCGACCTGCGAGTGACCACTGATAGCACATCGTATTTTAAAACGTTATCAAAAGAAAACACCGACTTTTTATCTGTTCCGAGTTTGTATTTCGCTAGTTGACCCAAACAACATTTCGCAGTTTTACCACTGTAACAACAGCTGTGCTTAAGACTACCGGCAGTAATTCCCTACGCGTATTCCTGCGGGCCGTACAGCTCTAGAACAGGGGGAAACTGAGAAGGGACGCGGGCACGGACAGACGGACAGCGGCGCC